AACCGTTCCACAAAACTAAGCGCAGCGTTTCCGGCAAATGAAGAGTGCCGGTTGAAAAATGATTTTCCTCCTACTGTGTCGTTTCTTTGCAGTATACAAGGCCTGTTGGAGATATTCTAAGTAAGCATTTTGCTTGTAAGTACTTAAAAAATGAGTAGGGTGGTTTTGAATTGAATTAAGACTAGTACTAATACCCATGTACAACATGGGTGTTGAATAAATGAATATATGTGTAAAGTTATCTATATATATATAATTACTAGCCAATAACATTCAATAAAACTCATTTAATTTTACCTATGTGTCAATTTAACTCTTTTCCCTCCAAAAACCGTCACATTTTATGTATTTAATCTTTCATTTAATTATTAAATAATCAACATTAATCACTTCAAATTTACAATAAACTTTTGATTACTGACAGTTGACCATATAATGTGTTGACCGTATAATGTGACTAGATGTTATTATTGTGGTTGCATTTGAATTAAATTTTTTTTAAATGAAAAAAATATTTGAAATTCCTAATTAAATAATTAACAAAAAAAAGACGTACCAAAATATACATTACATCCAATCAGATAAACGCAATTTTAAAATAAATATTTCAACTCATTTAATTGTACATTTGGCCAGCAAAAAAGTGAAAGAAAAATAATTAATTGTTATATTCATACAAATAACTCACAATACTTTATATAAATCTGTGCATTTTGCACAGGTCGAATACTAGTTTATGTCTAATACCAAATCTAACTCCAAAGCAAAAAATATAATAAAACAACATCACGAAGCATAGAATTTTGCCATGTCAGCATCCGAAGCATGAGAATCCGCCAAATAGACTCAACACGTTTTGAATTAATATATAGGGAGGGATGTCAAATGCTTTTACCGATTTAAATTAAAAAAAAATGTAATGGGCTTATGAGAGATAAAACTACTCTGATAGTCATAGAATCCTCTTGTACATGAATTAGATGTAGCATCATTTTCAGAAAATTTACCTATGGCGCCTATGTTAGGTGGCATGTCCTACTAATTAATACATATACTTCATGTGCACATCTTTTATTAAGGATAAAACATGAGGTGCAAAACTAAGGTTGCAAGCGAGTCGAGCGGCTCATGAGCCGCTAGCGATCGCTCGAGTCAATGTTCGACTCGAGCTCGAGTTTGACCTAATCCGTGTCGAGCTCGAGCCCATAATTTGCATAGTCGAGCGGCTCGATATATATTAAACTACTAAAATGTCACGTATACATATATTTAAATAGTATAACTGTTGTGTATATTTTTACCGGAGTAGAATCGAAAGATTCAAACACCGGGTCGTGTCTCACGAGGAAGGTTAGCCGGAATATGTTGTACGTTTATTCAAGCACAAATGATAGAAATAAAAGAAATAAAATTCCTAAACATGCTAACTCAAATGATTGGATTGGTTTTTGAATTATAAACTACTGCAAGATTTAAATGAGCAATAAAAATAGCAAGCGAAGACGAAGAACAAGTAGGATTTAAAGAGCTAGGGAGTCGGGGATATCCGTTTTGGTTCGAAAATGCAATTATCAAGCAAATGATTGTTCGGTTAAGTGATTTGAATAACCGGCACGTTCAAGCACTCATTCTCAATAACTCTTCGTAACAAGAGAACAAACTTAAACGACAAGTTAACAAGTCATTTAACACCTAGGCAATACAATTACGAACAAGCCTAGTTTATACGAGCCTATTTCGACCGACTCCTCCCCTTTCGGTTCTAAGAGTCGATTAAAGGAGACTAGAGGGTTGTTAATCCACTAATCCGTTTAGAATTATCAACAATATGCATGAATTTATCGAATTCAATTGAAACAATTGGAGATTGAAGTGACACCCTTCAATAATTCTCAAAATCCAAGAACGATGAATGAAAACCCTAGAAAAAGCTTAACTCGTACAAATTGAACAATCACGAACATGATAATCGCAAATGAATTCAAAACATCAATCCCCTATTCCCTAGCATATGAATTTAGCCACTCATACCGAATTCAACATCAACATTCACAACAATCAAAGCCATAATCATCATATAAACGAAAAGAGAAGCTTACGATTGATATAAGTCCAATGTCGAAAACAAGGAAGAAAACCAAATCCGCAAGACAAATCTTGGAAGATTTCACTCTCCAAGGTTGAATCCAATGAAAAACTAAGAGAAAGTATGTTTTTAGTCAAGAAAAAACTCAAGAGAACAAGTCTGGCTGCCCCCTCAAACGCCCTCCCATCGATCTCGTACACTTCCCATTTCAAAATCCATGAAATCCGCGATAGACATAAAACAGACCTTAGCGGCGCTAAGGGGTTAGCGCCGCTAAGGCATCTTAGCTGCTAACTTCTGTCCGCGATAAAATCCAAAGCGCCGCTAACCAAGGGTCCTTAGCGGCGCTAAGGCCTTAGCGGCGCTAAGGTCCCCTTGTCCAAGATTTTTGCATTTTTTTTTTCTACAGCTTGCTCGGCTACGTTGCTCGGGTACTGCCCGAGCTGGGACTTCCATCCTCGCATGTTTGGGCCCACAGAAATGTGCTCGAACCATCCGCTTCTCGTCTGGATGAACGTTCGCCAATCAGACCAACCCAACACCTGAAATTGCACCACCGAAACAACACGAAAAACAGAGAAAATAGGAGGAAAAAGTAACAGAAAAACTAAACAACCCAAAAAATGAAGATGAAAACATAAGAAAGGACTAGACGGACCGAAAAGTCTAAGAAAAGACCTAAAATGGGGGAAACAAAACACAAAATAGCCACGAAAATAGCAACAAAAATGGGACAAACAATAACACAAGTGCTTAATGATAATTTCACTTAAAAATTTTCGAGCTAAGCTCGAGCTCGAGCTATTGTATTTTCTTATCGAGTCGAGATCGAGAAACATAAATCGAGCTCGACGAGCTCAAGCTCGAGCTCAAGCAACTAAAAAGAAAAATTCAATCCTGTTCGATAAGGTCAATACTCGACTCGGCTCGGCTCATCTACAGCCCTAAGTGGAATGTATAGAAGTCGATTTTTGTATTGTTGAGTATCGAAAATTGAGATAATTAAGATCTTTGTAGCATGTTTTGAGTAAGTTGAGGTTTCAGGGAAGGGACTATGTGAGTGTAGGCTTAAAAACAACGGATTTATTTTTGTATTTTCCCTTCCTTTTATTTTGAGGTTAGAAGTGTTTTATTAAAATTTGAACATTTCTCAATTTATACGTGTCATCCTTGCGCAGGGGTCATGCTAATCTACTCTGTATTGTTCTAATTTTATCGATGTCCCCCAAGAGACGGTGTTAGATGTTCAAATTCACTTTTTTTTTTCTCTCTTTCCCTTTTTGTCTTTTTCTTGTTTAGGAATTTTAAGGCCAAGGAAAATCAACATCAACTAATGAAATACACAATCTACACAATCTCATCTAGGTAAAATTTGTTTTCTTCGCCTCTCTAACTTAATCTTCACCCCAAAGACAAAAACATCAAAACAATATGGGATAAGATGAGAAGCAATTGTCATTTAAACCCAAAAAAATTAAGTATATTTCAAATGAAACCCACTTTAAAAGATACAATTTTATACAAGCTCACTTTGCTCATATATATATATATAATCTCCTTATAGTCCTCACACTACATACTATTAAAAAAAGTTTCACTCACACCCACCAAAGACAATGAGCATTTTCTACCAAGAAGAGCCTTCAAATGCCTCCAAGAAATGCAAATGCCTTGCCTCACTACTCAAAGATGCATTCACCAAATGCCATTCTTTTCGTTGCAATGAAGAAGTAGCCGACTCGACTCTCGAGTCCGAAGATCGCGCAACCATTCTCGATGAGGACGAGGTAAAAATTACCAAAATATAATGTAAATTTTAGATTAAATACGTTTTCTTTCGATAAGTCCATTTTTTTTTTAAAAAAAAAAAAAAAAAAAACTTTGTTCACGACAGATATTTGTTTCGGCTATCATAAGCAAGTACATGGAGTCGAAAAGCAAGCGAAAATCGGGCATTGGCATAGAAAGCTTCAACTGGGCTCTGTCTCCAGGGGCAGGGGATTATTTCAAAACAACCCCAAAATCATTTGTCGAAAATTACAATGCCAATTTAGGTGAAGTCAATGGGGATGAGTTCCGGTCGGCCAATAGCCGGCTTTCACGTTGCTCGAGCGACACTAGCTTTGATGCATTTGCCTCGGCTAGAACATGTTTCTCGAGATGCTCGAGCATGAGTAGGATTACGGATAACGATTTTTTATCGGGTGATCGTAGGTCGATCATTTTGGAGCTCGTGCGTTGCGAAGGATGGCCGTTCGGGCTTTGCAGGAAGGCGTTGTTGCTGCCTCCGTTGCCTAAATCACCAGCTGATTCTTGGTCGTGGAGAAAGGGTAGGAAAGTGATTAGGATCCATTAATTGTTGATTTGTTTTGGTTAATGTTAGCTTAAATACGTTTTACTTTGGTAATAATTGTACGTGTCTCATCGATCGTTTAGTGATTATTGGGATCGAGAAATGTGGGAATAAGATCTTCTCTTCTAAAGTTGCATTTCAAATTCAATTTATTCTAATGGACATAATGATTGATGTTACTCTTGTACCTTATGTCATTCGGTGGAATGCAAACGTTAATTGGCCACGGGCCGCCCAGCTCGCCGGTTTGATCAAATCCGTTGACCATAAATTCGGGCCTAAATTGAATATTAAGCGGGTTGAGTGTGGGCCATTTTTTTCCGGGCCCGACGTGCTGGGCCAGGTCTGGTTCGGCCCAATTTCACGTTACTTATTAAGTCAAAATGAAGGGAGTTGTATTCAATTTCAACTTTTAGAGACTTTTTAAAGTTTTTAGAATTTTAAAGACTTTTGAAATGTTTACATGTATTCAATTGATACTTTTAAAAACTTTTAATAAGTCTCTAAAAGTATCAGTGTATTCAATTATAACTTTCTGAGAGTCATTATAAGTTATCCGGTATTCAAAACATAAGACTTTATGAGACTTTTTAAATTGTGAGACTTGTAGAGACTTTTGTAACAAAATTACAAAGAAAAAGTCTAACAGTAAAAAGTCCTTAAGAATCTCAATTGAATACACCCCCTATTATTTTTCCTAATATCATTTTAAACTTATTTTTTGAATAATAATATGTTACCATATTTTTTTCTGTCTTAATGTTAAAGATGGAAAACTTGGTAATATTTTGAAATGAAATTTAGTTTGTAGATAAAATCAACTCTCTAAAGCGACACCAGTTCAAAATTGATGTAACATATATTATTTTCATATTAAAAATATTAATGATTTTCAAATTACAGTATTTGATAAATTATTACTAATTTATTTTCTAGAAAATTTATAAGTTCCGCTCTAGAATATCAATTCAAAATTATCTAACTATTAAATTATGTTTATAATAAATTTTTTTATATTTTTTATTAATAATTTATTGCCATGATTTTATATTCATTCTTAAGTTTAAATTTGAAAAATATTGGTAACACTTTTAAATAGAAGTTAATTTATAAATAAATTCAAGTTTCTAAACTGACCCAAATTCAAAATGGACGAAGAATATATTGGCCCCGTTTGGAAGATAGCGGATTGAAGATAAATTAGCGGATTGAACTTAATTGAGAGGTTTGACCCGTCAAATCCGCTATTAAGCTTGTTTGGTAAATAGCTTATTTTATAAGCTTTTTGGGCCCAAAACTCTAATTTAGAAAAAGCTCATTAGAGGAGCTTTTTGGGATAGAGGATTCACAATCTACTATTTTAATTTAGAACTTTTTAATTTGTATTATTTATTTTACAATTTACATTGGTTTATGGTGCTAAAAAATAATAATATGTCATCCATATGATTAATTTATCTTGAAAAATGTAAAATTTATAACTTCTTAATCAAGTGTTAGTAAATTTTACAAAAAATAATATATTTATAAATTACCAACTAAAAAATATTAAATGTTTTAATATATTATTATTAAAAGAATACACCCTAAATAATAAAAATGTCCTTATTGGTAATTTGCAATGTCAAACAGCTATAAGCTTTCAGCTATTTACCAAACACTTATTTAAAAACCGCTAATGCAATTCGCTGGTCAAATCAGCTAATATAATCCGCTATCCGCTATCCGCTAATACAATCCGCTATTCGCTATCCGCTATCAGCTGATCGCCAAACAAGGCCATTATCTTAATATTGAAAAAAATAACAGTTTTCAATTGTGGTATTTGATAAATTATAATTAATTTATTCATTAAAATTATAATAATCAATTAATATATCAATTTTATATGTTATTTCAGACCATTTCCATGCGCGTTCCGTCCCTATATAAGGAGATAAATTAAGATAAAATCTAACTCAATATACAACAATAAATACACAAGGAACTTCATAAGTCAATCAATCTTTCTTTTTGTTTTGTCTTGTTTCCTTTCCAAGCGACCTACAAGGAATATAATCAAATAAACAAAAAAGTTTTTCCGAATTATGACAATTAAAATTTTTTAACAATTTCCCTATTCAGTTTGAAAGCTCTATTTATTGTACTTACAAAAACAAGTTATATACAAGGCAAGATCAAAATAAAGATAGATTGAATATATAAGAGGTCGGGAATGATGCGAACTGGGCTTTTGAGTGGAATCAGATTGCATGGATGATTGTGGGAGAAGTTGGATTTCATGCAAATTAGATAGGATAAATTATGTCAGTTATATTTTAAATTTTAAATATCTTAGTTAGGATTGGTGGTAGGTTTGAATGTTTAACATTTGAATGTTGTTTGTGCTAGTAGAGATATATAGGACCTTTGTATGCATATTTGATAATCAAGTTTAAAGTAATAAAACATAAGAAAAAGACTCATTTTTAGAGTACTTCCTTCGTGATAAACCAAGGCCGATATTGCGGGTTTTTCACATTTTATCGTGTTCGAACCAAGACCGTTAGCGCGAGTTCCTACACAAAACCGAGTCCCAATACACATTCTTCATCAGATAGTGACGACTTGGGACAATGGGTGAAATGTTGGTATTTCATATTGAGACCACCCAATTCAAGAAGCAAGAGGAGAGCAGGTTTGAGAGTGGTTCACACAACTCCTATGGAAGTGTCCCTAACACGGTTTTTTTTTTTTTTTTTTTTTTTTTTTTTTTTTTTTTTTTTTTTTTTTTTTTTTTCTTTATTTTCTAACGAGCATCAAATATGCTAATTCTTAAAGGGATGAGCAGAAATATAAAGGTGATATTGGCATATGCCTCAACTGGAGGTGCTTTATTGGGATGAAGACTACATAAAGCTTTGAACATTTTCGAGCTGATGTTCTTAAATAGTTAGCAATGGCTGGTTGGGCGGGCAATGCTCAAGGGAGTGGTGACGGTTATCGATGTCGATTATATTTTGACTTTAGCGGCACAAATGATGACTTGTACAAATAAGACAAGGTTGGGATGCCATTTTTTTTTTTTTTTTCGGTACAAGAAAAGGAGGCAAACGCCTAACTACTACGATACTAACACATTACGCGAATAAGACACTCCTATTACATCATGAGCTAACCACACATTTGCTCCCGAAAGCGGCTTATCCAAACGGTGAAATCCGCCAGACCCTTTGGCCGCGAGTGAGGCCAAAAAATCGGCAACAAAGTTTGATTCTCTATATCCGTGCTTTATGACCACTTGCCATTGTCGACTCAAAAGGTCCTTAACCCCCCTTAAGACGCTCGTGTGTACTCCCCGGCACGCGTCTCCATTCATCATTGCAATAATACTTTGGTTATCGACCTCCACAATCACATTGCGCGCTCCAATATCTCATGCGAGCTTCAAGCCTTGAAAAAGGCCCCAAAGTTCGGCTCCAATGATTGAACAAAGGCCAATATTCATTACAAATCCACTTAACCATTTTCCCGTATGGTCTCGAATAGCACTGCCCGCATTAGCCATCCCTGTGTGGGGTAAAAAACTCCCATCAGTATTAACCTTCACATGATCGACCTCCGGCGGCGACCAAGCTATCCACCTCTTGATGCAGGATTATTATTATTATTATTATTATTATTATTATTATTATTATTATTATTATTATTATTATTATTATTATTATTATTATTATTATTATCTCTTAGTTATCTTTAAGGTGGTTAGGAGATATTTATTTACTTGTTTGATAAGTTAGGGATTGTGGGAGATCTTGAACTCTATTTATTAGCAGACTGGCAGAATGTAAGAGCAGTTTTATCGATTGAAATAAAAAATTTGTTCTTGTGTGGTTTATCAAGAGAGAGTATCTCTTTTATCCTTCCCATTCGTTCACGCTTTCCCTACATCAGTTGGTATCAGAGATCAGCACGATTCACGATGCTGTCGCGAAGACAAGATGCTGCAAATGACAGGCGTGTCGCCGCCATCTACAACCTGAGTCGCCGGACCGAGTGGTTTGGCCGCCAGCTCAAGATGATGGGTCGTCAGATTGCAGATCTGTCCGCGGAGATCGGGGACATACGTCTAACTATCCGTACCATGGTTCGGGACAAGCAAACGTACCGTGACGCCGGCAACCGGGGCGTGTGCGGGGGAATTCGCGGAGAACGTGGAGGCCGTGGTCTAGGCGGGGTGCCCCGTCGAAGATCTCCACAACCATCGTCCGACGATGAAGACGGCGAGGATACCATCTCGGAGGTGAATCCCTTCGGCGAGTGGCAACCTCAGCACGTCGAGGCTGACCCCTTCGCTGCATACAGCGGCCGTGACATGTGGCGACGGGGCCCGGTCTTCGTGGACGGCGACGATCAACGCGACGATATAGGCAAGCGCGAGGAAGCTTCCATCGTCGACGGATATCGTGCCCGACGCGATTGGGAATTTGATCGTGATTATGGTCGATGGAAGGGTCCGTTTCGTGTAGACATCCCCGAATTCGACGAAGAGAATGTTGACGGGCCATTGTACGATGGTCTGCCTGTGTTTGATGAAGGGCCCGAGGAGGTCGTGGAGCGTCTTACCGACAAAGTGGACGGTCTCGACGACGGTCTACCTATTTTCGATGAAGAGCCCTTGGGGCCCGAGGTGACGCTTTCTGATTTTGGCTTGTGTAAGCCCCTAGAAAAATATTCATTCATGTTAGTAGCGGTTGTTGATTTTATTGCTTCGCATTCTAAAACTGAGCACAACGTGCATTTGGGCATAGAAACTGCGCTACAACAGTGGAAACGCAATGAGGATAAATATTTGATCCTCCATTTGTTAAGTGAAGTTGAGCGATATTCAACCTTCGTGTTCGACCAGGGAAAATGACGAGGTTTGCTACCATGAGTTCAACACCACACGCCGGCCACGAGGTTTGTTATAAGATCTTGTCTTGTTGGACAAGTTAGGAATAGAGTTTATGAGCCTTATATAAAGAACTCCCCCTCTTTTGTTATCTCAAGTTGAATATAAAATAAGAATTGATATTGTGAGTTTTGCGTGTTTTACGAGAGAGTATCTCGTTTGAGAGTATCTCGTTTACTCGTTTATCCTTCTCACTCGTACGCTTCCCTACATCACCTCTGTTCGCGTGGGATGCCAAATTTATTGGTGCTTGGGTTGGGCTATAGCATAAGATTTAATGGTTATTTGGCTATGGCAAGCAATGAGGAATTGAGTACTGTTGGGTCTTTAGGCACTAGGCAGATGGAGTAATTAGGTGAGGAGTAACTGAGAAAAGTGAAAAATACATATAATGTAACCAAACAACTTAATATTTGGTCTTCCAACTGTTGGATGGCATTTGAAAAGTAAGTAATATTATCTCAGGCCATTAACTATTTTTTCAACGAATCTCATCCATAGAATAAAAATAATATATAAATCTACTTTATACATTTTTAAAATCTAAATCTCCATTTACAATTTTTTATCAAATTCGATAATATTACAAAGCGTCTCTGTCCTATATCAATCTGCATCATGGTCAAAGAGAGGTTGAGTCTTGAGTGTGTGTTGTGTGTATATACTTTATACAAAGAGAAAAATTAAGTCACAAAGCCAACTTTGACCGTTGAAAGTTGGGCTTTGATTAGAACGACACTTTTTTTAGCTACAGCAGGTCGAGGTCGAGTATGGGGTGCCTTCGTATTCTACTGCTCAACCCTATTTTCAAAGCTTGGTTCTGTTTTTCGCTCTCATTTTTCTCGATATTCGTGATTTTTTCGTTTTCTGGCTCGTATGTGCACTCCTCAAGTTCCTCGAGGTCCTCTCTGCACAAATTGATAACGCTCAAACTCATTGGACTTGGTTCGAACCCATATGCTAGTCGGTCCATTTGTTTCGCGAATTGGCTCTCTAAATTCTTGATGCTTAGTTCTTGGCTTTTGATGCTGATCTCCTGGCTCTTGATGCTCGCCTCAACACCTTGCTGAAAGTTAAGGGTGTAAGAAACAGGGAAAAACGAGTGCGGTCCCACGCAGATGAAGCGCACCAAGATAGGGAAAAGCTCAAATGAAGCTCAAGTAAGGTTTCATCCCAAAACCACCGCAGATGAAGCACACCAAGATAGTGAAATCCTAGATGAAGCCCAAGTGAGGTTTCATCCCAAAATCAATTGGTTGTAGGAAGAGTAGTCCACTAGACTTACAAATTAGGTCCATTTGCCCTATATAAATAATGTGGGACAACTCACAAGTAAATATTCTAATACGCCCCCTCACTTGTGAGCCCTTCATAAGAAGTCTAAGCCCAAAGGACTGGAAAACTGGTACGTCATCGCACGGTCACAATAGAACCGACTCTGCACTATAACAAGGAAAGCACAGATGTAACCCAAGTGAGGTTCTTTCCCAAAACCAATTGGTGGAAGGAGGTGTAGCCCACTAGACTTATAAATTTCGTCTATTTTCCCCATATAAACCATGTGAGACAACTCACACTTGTGAGTCGTTCATAAGAAGGCTAGGAAACGGGTACGTCATTGCACGGTCACAATAGAACTAACTCTAATACCATGTAAGAAACATCCCAGATGAAGCTAAGTGAAGTTTCATCCCAAAACCAATTAGTGGAATGAAGAGTAGCCAACTAGACTTATAAATTATGCCTATTTTTCTTTTATAAACGATGTGGGACAACTTACTAGTGAAGATTCTAATATATTTTGTTTGTTTTTCTTTGATTCAATATTAAAGTTGTAAATGTGCGTCTTGACATTCAAGCTCGATTTAAATTTGATTTTTATCGAGTCGACCTCGGATTTTATTTGTTAACGAGTCAATATATATATAAAAATTTTAAATAATTATATAAAAAATATTTCTTTTACATAAACGAGTTCGAACCCAATTTGTTATTAAGTGAATTTGTCCGAAATAAATTTACAAACAGTTCATTTTATTTAACAGTTATATTTAATAATAGAGAGCAAACTGCATTTTAAATTTCTAGAAACCTAACTCAAATGATTGAATGGCAATAATAAATTAATCCATTGAACCGCATGCCATTATCCTTCTCATATCGATTAAGTGGGATTATGTACCTCACAATCAAGTTTTTCACGTGATTAGTTAATCACCTATAATCAACGGTTGTTATTTTCTTTCAAAGTCTCTATCAAGATGAGTAGATTTTTATTTATTTATTTATTTTTTAATGTTCTTTAAATAATCATAACTTAACCGCCTTTCTGACTTTTCTCACTATAATTTTTCTCTGCATTTTTATTGAATGAGATATAGTGATCCAAATATATTTTTTTAATCTACTTAGTTTATATCATTACGCATGTTTTATTTTATTTTTATTTTATTTTATTTTTATCTTTCTCTACCCTTAATTTTGTCTTTTGTGTATTGACTTTAGATATCGGAATATTCATGCACCCATTGGTATATAGAGTAGTTGCGTTTCTCGTACACGAACTCATAATTAGTTGCGTTAATTAAGAATAGTTAGAGTAGTTGCTCAAACCCATTGGCAATTTTCCAGCTCCGAGCCGAGGGTTGGAGGACCCTGAACAGGCTGAACATATGCACGGGCCTGTTCAGTGAACCGCCATTTTTGGGCCGATCCGATTCAATAAAAAAAATAAAATATAATAAATTATATATATATTCTTAAAAAAGGGTCAAATCACCCGGTTTGGGTTCAAAATTGGCCCATTGATTTGAAAACTTAAAATATGTGGCCCATAATCGATCCGGTCAAATCACGGGCTAAGTTCAAAGCCTGTTGACCACGGTCCAGTTTTTGGATTGAATCGATGGGGGCGGGGCGACCTGTGGTCATGTCTAGATAGACTGTCTAATATTTAAAAAACAATACTCTTTCAATAAATATACATGTTTATATTTAAGGGGTAATGCTTAGGTCTCGTTACGGAACCATGGTGTTTTAACCATTAGATCATCTATCTTATACTAATTATATGTGTATCCACGGTTAAAACACCAGACGGAGCATTTCCCTATATTTAAGTATCATAATTAAAAATATATAAAAATAAAGGAACGGCTCCTTGAAATATAAGTATAAAGAAAGCCTTGAAATATAAGTATAAAGAAATGTTACGATCCCCTTACGGAACCATCCAATCGAGAGTTTTTTTTACGATAAAAATGTGACTTTCTAGCAAAGTAGCAATTACCCAACATTAGCATATGCAAATAATAAAAATAAATAATTTGTACCAAAAAAAAAAAATAAATAAATAAATAATTATCTGGAATCCTTTTTTTTTTTT